TATGTTGAGGAAAGTTCCCTCTGTGCCTACTTTCTGGAGGGTTTTTATCATAAATGGGTGTTGAATTTTGTCGAAAGCTTTCTCTGCATCTATTGAGATGATCATATGGTTTTTAATCCTTCAATTTGTTAATATGGTGTATCACATTGATTGATTTGCATATATTGAAGAATCCTTGCATTTCTGGGATAAACCCCACTTGATCATGGTGTATGATCCTTTTAATGTGCTGTTGGATTCTGTTTGATAGTATTTTGTTGAGGATTTTCACATCTATGTTCATCAGTGATATTGGCCTGTAGTTTTCTTTCTTTGTGACATCTTTTTCTGGTTTTGGTGTCAGGGTGATGGTGGCCTCGTAGAATGAGTTTGGGAGTGTTCCTCCCTCTGCTATATTTTGGAAGAATTTGAGAAGGATGGGTGTTAGCTCTTCTCTAAATGTTTGATGGACTTGGCCTGTGAAACCATTTGTTCCTGGGCTTTTGTTCGTTGGAAGATTTTTAATCACAGTTTAAATTTTACTGCTTGTGATTGGTCTGTTCATATTTTCTATTTCTTCCCAGTTCAGTTTTGGCAGGTTGTGCATTTCTAAGAATGTGCATTTCTTCCAGGTTGTCCATTTTATTGGCATAGAGTTGCTTGTAGTAATATCTCATGATCTTTTGTATTTCTGCAGTGTCAGTTGTTACTTCTCCTTTTTCATTTCTAATTTTGTTGATTTGAGTCTTCTCCCTTTTTTTCTTGATGAGTCTGGCTAATGGTTTATCAATTTTGTTTATTTTCTCAAAGAACCAGCTTCTAGTTTCATTGATCTCTGCTATCGTTTCCCTCATTTCTTTTTCATTTATTTCTGATCTGATGTTTATGATTTCTTTCCTTCTGCTAATTTTGGGGTTTTTTTGTTCTTCTTTCTCTAATTGCTTTAGGTGTAAGGTTAGGTTGCTTATTTGAGATGTTTCTTGGTTCTTAAGGTAGGATTGTATTGCTATAAACTTCCTTCTTAGGACTGCTTTTGCTACATCCCATAGGTTTTGGGTCATTGTGTTTTCATTGTCCTTTCTTTCTAGGTATTTTTTGATTTCCTCTTTGAATTCTTCAGTGATGTCTTGGTTATTAAGTAGTGTATTGTTTAGCCTCCATGTGTTTGTACTTTTTACAGACTTTTTCCTGCAATTGATATCGAGTCTCACAGCATTGTGGTCGGGAAAGATACTTGATACAATTTCAATTTTCTTAAATTTACCAAGACTTGATTTGTGACCCAAGATATGATCTGTCCTGGAGAATGTTCCATGAGCACTTAAGAAGAAAGTGTATTCTGTTGTTTTTGGATGGAATGTCCTATAAATATCAATTAAGTCCTTCTTGTTTAATATATCTTTTAAAGCTTGTGTTTCCTTACTTGTTTTCATTTTGGATGATCTGTCCATTGGTGAAAGTGGGGTGTTAAAGTCCTCTACTATGATTGTGTTGCTGTCATTTCCCCTTTTACGACTGTTAGTATTTGCCTTATGTATTGAGGTGCTCCTATGTTGGGTGCATAAATATTTACAATTGTTATATCTTCTTGCATTGATCCCTTGATCATTATGTAGTGTCCTTCTTTGCCTCTTGTAATAGTCTTTGTTTTAAAGCCTGTTTTGTCTGATATGAGAATTGCTACTCCAGCTTTCTTTTGGCTTCCATTTGCATGGAATATCTTTTTCCATCCCCTCACTTTCAGTCTGTATGTGTCCCTAGGTCTGAGGTGGGTCTCATGTAGACAACATATATATGGGTCTTGTTTTTGTATCCATTCAGCCAGTCTATGTCATTTGGTTGGAGCATTTAATTCATTTACATTTAAGGTAATTATCGATATGTATGTTTCTATTACCATTTTCTTAATTGTTTTGGGTTTGTTACTGTAGGTCTTTTCCTTCTCTTGTGTTTCCGGCCTAGAGAAGTTCCTTTAGCATTTGTTGTAAAGCTTGTTTGGTGGTGCTGAATTCTCTTAGCTTTTGCTTGTCTGTAAAGGTTTTAATTTCTCCGTCAAATCTGAATGAGATCCTTGCTGGGTTGAGTAATTTTGGTTGTAAGTTCTTCTTCATCACTTTAAATATGTCCTGCCAGTCCCTTCTGGCTTGCAGAGTTTCTGCTGAAATATCAGTATTAATATTTCTGCTGAAATATTAACCTTATGGGATTCCCGTGTATGTTATTTGTTGTTTTTCCCTTGCTGCTTTTAATATTTTTTCTTTGTATTTAAATTTTGATAGTTTGATTACCATGCGTCTTTGCGTAATCTCCTTGGATTTAACCTGTATGGGACTCTGTGCTTCCTGGACTTGATTAACTATTTCCTTTCCCATATTAGGGAAGTTTTCAACTATAATCTCTTCAAATATTTTCTCAGCCCTTTTCCTTTTCTCCTGGAACCCCTATAATTCAAATGTTGGCGCATTTAATATTGTCCCAGAGGTCTCTGAGACTGTCCTCAATTCTTTTCATTCTTTTTTCTTTATTCTGCTCTGCAGTAGTTATTTCCACTATTTTATCTTCCAGGTCACTTATCCGTTCTTCTGCCTCAGTTATTATGCAACTGATCCCTTCTAGAGAATTTTTAATTTCATTTATTGTGTTGTTCGTCATTGTTTGTTTGCTCTTTAGTTCTTCTAGGTCCTTGCTAAATGTTTCTTGTGTTTTCTCCATTCGATTTCTAAGAGTTTGGATCATCTTTACTATCATTGTTCTGAATTCTTTTTCAGGTAGACTGCCTATTTCCTCTTCATTTGTTAGGTCTGGTTGGTTTTTATCTTGCTCCTTCATCTGCTGTGTGTTTCTCTTTCTTCTCATTTTGCTTACCTTACTCTGTTTGTGGTCTCCTTTTCGCAGGCTGCAAGTTCGTAGTTCCCATTGTTTTTGGTGTCTGTTCCCAGTGGCTAAGGTTGGTTCAGTGGGTTGTGTAGGCTTACTGGTGGAGGGGAGTAGTGCCTGTGTTCTGGTGGATGAGGCTGCATCTTGTCTTTCTGGTGGGCAGGTCCACGTCTGGTGGTGTGTTTTGGGGGTGTCTGTGGTCTTATGATTTTAGGCAGCCTCTCTGCTAACGGGTAGTGTTGTGTTCCTGTCTTGCTAGTTGCTTGGCATAGGGTGTCCAGCACTGTAGCTTGCTGCTCGTTGAGTGAAGCTGGGTCTTGGCGTTGAGATGGAGATCTCTGGGAGATTTTCACCGTTTGATATTACGTGGAGCTGGGAGGTCTCTTGTGGACCAGTGTCCTGAACTTGGCTCTCCCACCTCAGGGGCACAGCACTGACTCCTGGATGGAGCACCGAGACCCTGTCATCCACACGGCTCAGAATAAAAGGGAGAAAACAGAGAAAGAAAGAAAGAAGAAGATAAAATAAAGTTATTAAAATAAAAAATGATTATTAAAAAAGAATTTTTTTAGTAATAAAAGAAAGAAAGAAAAGAGCAACCAAACCAAAAAACAAATCCACCAATGATAACAAGTGCTAAAAAGTATACTAAGAAAAAACGGACAGAGAGAACCCTAGGACAAATGGTAAAAGCAAAGCTATACAGACAAAATAACACACAGAAGCATACACATACACCCTCACAAAAGAGAAAAAGGGAAAAAATATATATATATTGTTGCTCCCAAATCCACCTCCTCTATTTGGGATGTTTCGTTGTCTATTCAGGTATTCCACAGATGCAGGTACATCAAGTTGATTGTGGAGATTTAATCCGCTGCTCCTGAGGCTACTGGGAGAGATTTCCCTTTCTCTTCTTCGTTCGCACAGCTCTTGGGGTTCAGCTTTGGATTTGGACCCGCCTCTGTGTGTCGGTCACCTGAGGGCATCTGTTCTTCGCTCAGACAGGACGGGGTTAAAGGAGCAGCTGATTCGGGGGCTCTGGCTCACTCAGGCCAGGGGGTGGGAGGGGTACTGATGCGGGGCGAGCCTGCGGTGGCAGAGGCTGGCGTGACGTTGCACCAGCCTGAGGCACGCTGTGCGTTCTCCCGGGGAAGTCGTCCCTGGATCCTGGGATCCTGGCAGTGGCGGGCTGCCCAGGCTCCCCGGAAGAGGGGTGTGGATAGTGACCTGTGCTGGCACACAGGCTTCTTGGTGGCGGCAGCAGCAGCAGCCTTAGTGTCTCATGCCCGTCTCTGGGGTCCGCCCTGTTAGCCGCGGCTCACGCCCGTCTCTGGAGCTCCTTTAAGCAGCGGTCTGAATCCCCTCTCCTCGCGCACCAGGAAACAAAGAGGGAAGAAAAAGTCTCTTGCCTCTTTGGCAGCGCCAGACTTTTTCCCGGACTCCGTCCCGGCTAGCCGTGGCGCACTAAGCCCCTGCAGGCTGTGTTCACACCGCCAACCCCAGTCCTCTCCCTGCGTTCCGACCGAAGCCCAAGCCTCAGCTCCCAGCCCCCACCCGCCCCGGCGAGTGAGCAGACAAGCCTCTCGGGCTGGTGAGTGCCGGTCGGCACTGATCCTCTGTGCGGGAATCTCTCCGCTTTGCCTTCCGGACCCCTGTTGCTGCGCTCTCTCCCACGGCTCCAAAGCTTCCCCCCTCCGCCACCCACAATCTCCGCCCGTGAAGGGGCTTCCTAGTGTGTGGAAACCTTTCCTCCTTCACAGCTCCCTCCCCCTGGTGCAGGTCCCATCCCTATTCTTTTGTCTGTGTTTTTTCTTTCTTCTTTTGCCCTACCCAGGTATGTGGGGGGTTTCTTGCCTTTTGGGAGGTCTGAGGTCTTCTGCCAGCGTTCAGTAGATGTTCTGTAGGAGTTATGCCACATGTAGATGTATTTCTGATGTATTTGTGGGGAGGAAGGTGATCTTCGCGTTTTACTCTTCTGCCATCTTAAAGCTCCGCCTGATAAGCTTTTTTCAGAGAGTGAAAAGAGTGAAGGAAAGTTCGAATTTTGTAGGACTTTGGAAATGGTTCTTATTCAATTTGTCATGTTTGTCACAGTAGAAAAAGCAGTTTTTCATTTTAAGCTCAGTTGAAGGCAGGGATTGTTCTTTTTCTTTCTGTTGCTTACCACAGTGTCAGGATACTGCTTTGCAACACACTTAACAGCCAGCAATGTGACTTTTAGAATACATGGACCTTGGACTAGTAGGATTTCTTCAGGTGGAAGTGGTAGGGACTGGCTCCAGAGTATTTCAGGCAGGAAAAAGGAGGGCTGAATATATGGTGACAGGAAAGTAAGGGATGAAAACTTGAATGTTATCTTCTATTTTATGTGATATAAAAAAACCCTACCTATTATTCATATATTCTTGTGCAGTGTTGTTACATAATTAATTTTTAATAATTATCTAAAATAAAACTAAGTTTTTAGAATCTTTGCTACATTGTTGGAGAATGCTTTGTTCAAAAAAATAAAATGATTCTCATATTGATATAAAATGAACACGTTAAAATTTTAGTTAGTTCATTAATTGAGCAAACCTGTAAGATGTCACAACTATTTCAAAGAAGTCAAAGAAGCTCAAATTTATGTGAAGTATAGGAATGTTGAAACGAATTCACAAAAGATGGAAACTTTTTTCTTCCCCTATGGGAAGGGAAGTAAATTGAACCTCTACCAGACAGTGAAAGGTTGCAATCACGTAACTTGGGAGAGCATACTTTAGACAATGCACAGTTTTCCACTGAAGCCCAGACAGTCCCTACAGTCTATTTGCTTTTGGTCAAAAATAATGTCAAAGAAAGATTGTTCTTAATCACACAATAAAGCTGGTCTCATTAGGCATGGCCTTATTTACATAGGTGTAGTAGCAAGAGTGTTAATTTATCACATGGGCCGTCTAAGTTTGCTTTCCTTTTTTCTTTTTTTTTTTTTTTAAGATTTAATTTTATTTATTTTTGGCTGTGTTAGGTCTTCGTTTGCTGCGAGTGGGCTTTCTCTAGTTGTGAATGGGGGCTACTCTTCATTGCGGTGTGCCGTCTTCTCATTGCAGTCGTTTCTCTTGTTGCAAAGCACAGGCTCTAGGCACGCAGGCTTCAGTAGTTGTGGCATGCAGTCTCAGTAGTTGTGGCGCACAGGCTTAGTTGCTCTGCGGTATGCAGGATCTTCCCGGACCAGGGTTTGAACCCATGTTTCCTGCATTGGCAGGTGGATTCTTATCCACTGCGCCACCAGGGAAGTCCCTCTAAGTTTGCTTTCATAAGTTAAGTTTTCATAAATTATCTCAGATTAGACTTTTAAAACCCACTGTTATTTGCTAAGCCAAGAGTAGGAAGCAGCACCCAGGGAGCTCTCTCCATATGTTTTATTGTAATTAGTCTTTATTCTCAATCGCAATGGAAGTCTCATTATTTCTCATATTTTTTTTTATGGGAATGGAGGATCTTCTTCCATTACTATTTTGAGTTGGAGACAAAAATTAAAATATCAGAAACTTAGTGAAAATACAAAGTTAGTGTGGTTTGATATATGTTTTATTTTCAGATTGAAAATATCAGAAGGAAGCATAATTATCTGCCGTTCATTATGGAATTGTTAAAGACTTTAGCAGAACACCAGCAGTTAATACCACTAGTAGAAAAGGTAAGTATTTTACTGGCAAATACTTAAATTAGATTTAGATTCTCCAAAAAATGTTTTTTGGCTTGAGAAGAGATAAAATTGGTTGAAGCTTTTTATTTTCATTTTTTTGCTCTTACTTACTGTTTTTCATCTAGAGGAACATTAGTTCAATCTAATATTGCAAAATAAAAATAAGGAATTGCATTACTGCTTTAGCTTTCCAGAATCCTTAGTGTCAGGAATTCAGGTTGTGCTATATTAGAATGAAATGTAAAACAGTTTTCTTTCTTTAGCTGAAAACAAATTATTAATTTTAGTTATTGAAATAATAGATTTTTCTTATTTAACTTAGCAAAAATTTGAATTATCATCAAATTTACTACTAGAATGAAGGGGGAAAAAACATAACCTAGCCTAAGAAATAGGTTTTCTTATTCCTAAGTTATTACTCTTTCCACTGAGGGAAAACGCATAGGTTAGTGAAAAATTTGGACCGTTAACTTAAAGACCAGAATACATGGTAGGTTTTTTTTTTCTTATTTTTAAGTTCATGAAGCAAAGATACATTTCAACCGAGCTGTTTGATATCATCATAAATTCTAAATAATACAAGATGTGAGTTAAGGTTTTTATATATACATTATTATCTAGATCCTGAACATGTGCTTCAACTTTTAGCATTAAATGTAAAAATTTACATTTAAGAAAATTTAGAAGAGGACTACTAAGTCTTCTCTTTTCCATATAGGTTTTTCTATTCATGTATCTCAGGGTGCTAAATCATAAAAGTCCAAGATGGGAAACTGATTTTTAAAGTTTTAGATTAACAATTAGGGTCCTGTGATCCTCAGAATTGCCTGGTTAACAGAGTACCTCGATATTATATTCTTTGTATGAAACACTATGAAATATTTCTCTGTTGAAAATATTAAACAAAATGAAATATAGACTGTTATGCTCAATTGTATGATGTATCAGGTATTAAGTATAGATAAATATTATTAGGGACCAGACAAATGTTATTAGAGAAATTTAAAATATATATGTTGTGCTTTCAAATTGGCCTGTGAGTAAACTTTTTTGGGCAAATTAAGAAAAGGACCATTCTTATTTGATTTTAATGACAGTATATTTCCATAATTTTTTAAAAAGCATAGATAGAGTACAATAGCTTTTCAGCTTTTACATTAGAACCATAATTCCTTAGTTCACATTATTTTGGACACAGGGTGGCAGTATATGAATGCCTAGTGTTAGTGGAATACCAACTCAGTCTCTTCTTGTGTTTGCATTTGTTTTATTGAATATAATACAAAGACATTATATGTCTGTTTTATTGAAAGGGTAGTTACTGACTTGCTTGTTCTTTGACTAATAATATTGTACAAGTAATATTGAGATATATTTCTTTCTGTATAGACACTATACAGAAAGATACTGTATATGCAGTATCTTTTATGTGCCTAGATTCTGAAGGGAATTCAGATTCATTATTTGATTAAAATTTTTGAAATGTTTTGATTATTTATCCAACATTTATCTAGCTGAAACTATATTTGAGGCAGTCTCTTAAAGTCAGTGGATATACACATAATTAAGACACATTTTTCTGTCTTAAGCAACTGAGTTGGGGAAAGGAATACATGATTATAGTACTGTGCTGCATAGTATTATTCTGATAAGTGCTAGAATAAAGTCACGCTAAAGATTCTGGGGGATCACAGCGTAGCTCCTAAATAGCTTTATGCCACTTAAAATTTCACGTCCACAAATTTTGAATCTGTGGTTAGAATTAAATGCTTAATTTCTGCCAATAATCAGCTTCCTTAGCACAAATATATTTTTGTTCATCTTATTTTGAAAAAAGAAATCATATATCGTATTGAAATATCACTTTCTGCTGGTAAATGCAAATGTTAAAAATTAAAAAAACAATAGATTAAGATTACATTTTACAATTATATCCAATATAAAGACTTTAGTAGTGAACATTACTTAATAAGTAATACTTCTAAGAAAAGAATTACATGTAGAATTCAGAAATGGATTATTATGTCAAAAATCCCCCCCTTTCCCCCAATGCCAAGTGAAAGAAGAAAAGATGTGGCTAGTCTAGGCAGTGTTGCTACTTGCTAAAGCCATCCAGGATCAGATTTCTGAGTAATTGGAGGCAGGTCCTGACTGCCTGTGATGGTGTGGAAGTATTTGACCTGTGGAAATCTTTTCATTTTACAAAGTAACAAAGAGTGAGGACTTTGATTCCCCCAAGAGCATGCGGCTTTAATGAATTAGGTTAAGATATTGCCGTGTAAGTGTTCTTGTTCTATGAAGCTTCTGGTCTTATCTGATCAGTTCACTGAGTATACATTACATAAAGATTGCTCAGGAGGTAACCTAAAAATATAAAGTTATAAAACTTCTTGTGCCATATACCAAATCTGTTCCTTAAAATATAAAATAAAGTCAGCTATATTAAGATTTCATTTGTAAAACTTTTATTCAGGTACATTTACAATTCTTTTCAAATTTTATCTCAACCTTTATATGTATTTCTGAATCATTGTCTATCCCAGGTTTTTAATAACCATCAATAACCTACCATAATTTAGAATCACAGATTTTGTTGCTATGGGGGATTCAAAGCACAGTACTGAATTTTGTACAGATTTTACCAAGACATTATAATTCAGCTGGTAATAAATAACTAATCTGCAGAACTTACTTTTTCTATCTCTTAATAGAAATAAGGTAGAAGAATAAAGTTATCTGCAATAATATGTACATTAATACCTATGATTACAGAATTATCTGACTTCAGTCAGCAATTTTTAGTATCTCACTAGCACACTAAATAGAAGGAAAGTATTTCTTAACAGTGAACATTTTTTCCATGCTATTTTGAAATACAGTATTTTTTATTTTTCAAAAAAGGCAAAACAGAATACAGGCTTTCAGTTTAAATCTCAGATATGTTACTTAGCTGTTATGTTATTAACTGTTGCTTTTAGGCAAGTTATTTACTTTATTATAGAATCTATTTGCTCACCTATAAATTGGTAATCACACTTCACATTCTTAAGGATTAAATGAGATAATATTGGTCAAGTTCATAATATGTGCTCAATAAATGGCAATTATTTTTAACTTATTTAGCTCACCCTTAGTTTTATCTGAATTATATAGTTTAATACATGTATGGATACTCTGCATTATATGTCTTTGCTTTTTAAATTATGTTGTAAAATTTATGTCATTAACCAGTAGATTGATTCCTGTTAATCCTAGTAAACTTCCTGTATATTCAGAGATCACTAAGAAAAGAGGTACATATTTTTATTTCCAAATTATATCTAAAATTGAATAGTATTTTTATTATTTGGAAACAGAAGACTTCTTTGAGAAATTGTACATATCAAATTACAAATTATGCTTGTTATTAAAAATGTTTATGCAAGTAATTTTTAAATTTTTATATGGTATGTATAACATATTTCCTCTTAATATATTCTAATGCATTGCACTTAATTTTATCATATGGTTGTACAATAATTCTATTATCATTATAATGCACTATAAAAAAAAGATTATAGTTCTTATTAAAGAAGTTTTTTTCTTAATTGTATAATAGCAAAAGTCTAATTTATTTGTTTCTTTCTGATTCAAGTGCCATAGTGGAAAGAACATTATATTCTAGTCTTCTAAAATCTTGCTTCTCAAAGTGTCACCTGAGGACCAGCAGAATTGGCATCACCTGAGAGTTTGCTAGAAATTTAGATCCTCAGGCATTTTACCAATTCAGCCTGCATTTTAACACAGTCCCCAGGTCATTGGTCTCTACATTAGAAGCACTGCTATAGAATATGTGTCTGACCTCTATTGAGGTTTTGTTATAGATTAGCTGTGTGACTTGGTCAAGTTTGATAACACCTGTAAACTCTGGCTTCCTCATCTGCTAAAAAGTGAAATAGAATTACTGTGTTCAAGCTCTATACTTGTTACAAGGTTCAAGTGAAACTTGTGAAAACATTTTTTTGGTCTTACATGAGCGAAAAAAACCTCACTTATATGTGAGGTTTATCAACACTATGGGTATATAATCCTTAGTTATGTTAAACTCATGTAAACTATTATGTTAAACTCATTTATTCAAATATGCAGAGATTAATATAGGATTTTTCATATACTCAGTTTGTTTGAGAAATGGGCACACATGTAAATATATTGTTTTGAAATAGTTATGAATGAGTATGACTTTATAGGATGAGTAATTTTGTATTTTTAAATTGTTACCATTATAATAATACATTTCAACTTCAGGTAAGAAAGAACTGCAAACCAAGTATGACCCTTTTTTATTGAGGGCAAAGCATAACTATATCATTGTCCAGGAGTAGTCTGTTGTGAGTCTTATAAAAGATAATTCTCTAGAAATCTTGCAAACAACGCATCTCAAGCTTTTTAGCTTAAGAATGCCCTCTTAGACACATTTCATTTTAATATGAACTGGAACAGTCTTTTAAGATTTTATAGTATACTATCTTTAATTTCTAGGCAAAAGAAAAACAGAATGCAAAGAAAGCACAGGAAACCAAATGAAGAAGATGCTTTGGGATGTGTACCCATTTCTGCTTCTGCACTTATTTTCAAGGAAACCATTAAGTATAAAGAACTTTGAGCAACATCCTAATCGACTCAGCGCACGTTTGGCAATAGCCCCAGTCTGTCTCGTCTTCAGTGCATGGATTCATAACCTCTCCCTGCCTGCATCATGTGCATGTGGTGCATATTAAATAAAAGTGGTGTTCAGAGCACTTGCCCAAATCCCATTATATGACATTGGATCTGAGAACTCCTGTTGGTTCTCTGGATAGGTAACTACCGTAATGAACCGTAATGAACTACCGTAATGAAAATGGACAAATGATATTCTCTACCTGTAATTGTTATAATTTTCCAATTTTCCAGCTTGGTTAAATGCTTAAAATTTATAAATGTCAGATCTATTAAATGGAGTCTCTTCTCATCATTAATGAAAAAAATCAGTATTTCTGTCTTTGATATCTAAATAATTTGAAGATTTAAAAACTGAATTTTATCTTCTATACCAATTATTTGTAAAAGCTTGATTTTAAAGGAGATGATTTGAAAAGAACAGAAGGATAGTTTCTGGGCTTCCCTGGTGGTCCAGTGGTTAAGAATCTGCCTGCCAATGCAGGGGACATGGGTTTGAGGCCTGGTCTGGGAAGATCCCACATGCTGCGGAGCAACTAAGCCCATGTGTGCCACAACTACTGAGCCTGCACTCTACAGCCTCCGAGCCACAACTACTGAAGCCCACGCGCCTAGACCCCGTGCTCCGCAACAAGAGAAGCCACCGCAATGAGAAGCCCGCACACCACAACGAAGAGTAGCCCGCACTCAATGCAAGTAGAGAATGCCCACGCACAGCAACAAAGACCCAACACAGCCAAAAATAAATAAATAAATAAATGTTTAAAAAAAAAAAACATAGTTTCTAGTGATTTTCATTGCTACCAGTAGAAAAAGTAAAAAAATCCCAATTTTATTTTAGCAAACTTTTTTCAGTGTTTGGGATTATTTTTGTATTGTAGAATTATTTCAGGAAGGTGTATTATGCATCAAAGCAAAATTTTAGGTTAAGAACAGATTGTAAATCTTAAAGATTTTTGGTGCTACTCTCAGTTTGGCAACATATTTTCAAGCTGTTAAGCTGTATCTTTATAAAGAATTGGGGGTTTAGCAATTCAGGCTATCTGCTTTTTTAAAAAAAGGATGATGGTGGTGGTGGAGGATCCTTCGTTGCCAATTTGAACAAAATTAGTACAGCCCAGTAGTTTCCAAGAGCCATTTATCGTTTGCCCGCAATGGAATTGGGAGTTGCTTTGTTTTTTATTTTATAAAATAATATTGTATTCTTGCTCTTAATCTTCTTTTCCAAGTTAAACTTTAAAGGAAATTTTATAAAACTTATGTTTGTAAAGGAAATAATCTTTTTTCTTTACTAGGTACCTTTCTGAAATTGATACATGACTTTAATATTTTATTATAGAAAAGTTTAAACGTGTAGAGAGACTGTGTATGCATCCTCTAGTTTCAAACACGTGAATTTTTTTTTTTCCTGTAAAAAGCTTTATTGTTTCCATTTGGTCCAAGGGTTGGGAGAGGGCTCCAGCGTGGTTAAAAAGGTGCCTACTGGGCTTCCCTGGTGGCGTAGTGGTTGAGAGTCCGTCTGCCGATGCAGGGGACACGGGTTCGTGCCCCAGTCCGGGAAGATCCCACATGCCGCGGAGCGGCTGGGCCCGTGAGCCATGGCCACTGAGCCTGCGCGTCCGGAGCCTGGGCTCCGCAACGGGAGAGGCCACAGCAGTGAGAGGCCCGTGTACCACAAAAAAAAAAAAAAAAAGTGCCTACTTGCTGCCGAGAGCTACTTCAGGCAGAAGCCCTGACACCAGAGGGGCTCCTCAAAGGCCACTGGACTTTGGAGGCTTCTCGTCGTGCTTGAGGATGAGCCTTTCGAAGAGATACTGGCCCAGCCCAGCCTGGGGACCAGCCAGCCTGCGGAGCTTAGTCAGGTGGTCGCCCATCTTCTTGATGAGTTTCACCTGCTCATCTAGGGCGTGGCCCTCCAAGAAGTCAGAGGCGGGGCTGTGCGCGGGCAGAACCCAGGGCATGCAGGTCCACGAGGGCCTGATTCAGGTTCTTCTCCATGAACACAGCGGCTTCTGGAGCGTCCTGGGTTTTATGACACTCCTCTTGGGACGGCTTCTGCACGTCCTGGAAGACGGCCAGGTGGCTGCACTGGTTTTGCATTTTCAAGGGTCGCTCGGCGCCCTCGCGCTGCTCCTCCACCGATTCGCAGAAGCAGTGGCCCACGCCCCCCAGAGGCACAACGCTTCGCTGGAAATGGAAGCCCAGAGAGAGGTAGGTGTAGGAGGCCTACAGATGCATGTTGACCAGGCCGTGGAGGACAGCCTCCACCTGGGTGGAATCATTCTGAGGAATCCTGGAGCTCCCAGTTGATGGGTTAATAAGGAGTTAAGCTCAAAAAATGGAGTTGTCCGGGCCTGGTGGCTGAGGATAGCTGTGTGGCTGATTCCAAAAGTTAAGACGGGAAAAAAGGTTGGAGGGTGGTCAGAGGCTGGAACAAGGGGCGTCCCTGGGTCTGTTCCGTCCAAACACGGTTGAAGCAAGAGACAGAGATCCTCGGGACCACCGAGCACACTGCCTAAGGATCGTTTTTAGGCTTACTACACTGTGGTATTTTTAACTAATGTGGTGAAGACCTAGTGGGAAGTTGAGTAGTAAAATTAATGGAATATTTTTCATACGTAATTTCAGTTGAAGGTCATGAAGAATTTGTAGTTTTTCATTTGTGGGTAAATATATTTCACTTTGGAAACGATAGTGATTATGGAGTGTTTTCAAAGCCATGATACAGTTTAACAGTGATTTCATAAGGATTATTTTAAGCTCATCTTGAGCCCATACATTTATTCAACTTAATTTATATACCCTCTTTTGTAGAGTCTTAAATTTTGTAAAGCAATACAAGGAGTATTGTGGTAGGTAGTATCCAGTAATCAAGGACGGTGTGATACTGGCATTAAGGATCAACAAATAACTCAGTGGGATAGAAGAGAGAGCCGAAAAACAAATCTACATTTATATGGTCACTTGATTTTTGACAGAGGTAGCAAAGCAATCCAACAGAGAAGGGAAATCTTTTCAACAAATGGAGCCGGAACAGCTAAATATCCCCATGGAAAAAAATGAACCATGATTCCCTACCTCACAAAAATGAATTTGAGATGGATGACAGACCTAAATGTGATAGCTAAAATACAAAGCTTTTTAGAGGAAACAGAGGTGAATATCTTAGGTGACAGAAAACAACGATAAAAGATCTAAAATTAGTGTTCATGAAAATTAAAAACTTGTCATTGAAAGATGCTTTTAATACAAGTAGCTAGTATCAAATGACATTTAAAAATTAGCTTTATTCTGGAAAAGGCAAGGCAAGGGGTTTTCCCCTAGAGCCTCTGGAAAGGAACATAGCCCTGCTGACATCTTAGTTTTGGCTCAGTGAGACTCATTTTGGACTGACCTCCAAAACTGTAAGAGAATAAATTTATGTTGTTTTAGGCCAAAAAGTAAATAAATAACTAAATAAAAATTAGCTTTATAAAATCACTGAGTTAATAGATATAAGGATATTTTCTTATTAATCTAATTCTAATACAATTCCTTGATAGGCATTTGCATAGTAAGAATGGTTTATTTTATCTGCTTCCTCGATGATTCCAAATGCATTGTGACCCTTCATGATAATTTCTGCCAGTGAATAAAGAAGTATGACATCCTTTTCTGCGTCCTATGTCATGAAGCTAGTGGGTAGAGAAAATGGAGGAATAAAGAGCAATTCAGAAATATGTGTTAGTTATGTGGGAAAAAATTTTTTTTAAAGAAATGTTTAAAAGAAAGTCATTTGCTCATTTCACTTTTGCCCTTTCTTTTCTGAAATCTCATTTAATGATTGGGTAGGTGAAGGCACTTCCGTTCATTTTATGCCTTTTAAAATAGCCAATTCTAAGGGATATACTTCTGCTGTTTTAAACAAAGAAAGCTCACCAAGAGCTGCGGTACTGGCTAGTCTCAATTTCATATGTTTAGTTCCCAAGATAGCTGCCCTTTTTCTAGCAGAGAGCAGTCAGCTTGACTGTGTCACTAGAATAGACAAATATTTGTTCTGAGATCATGAACCATGGGGACTTGCTCCCCTACTTAGACCATGATACATACTCCTGTGTGTGCTACAGTGTTACATGCAGATTAATACCTTTAGTTACTAATCCTAGTTGCCTAAAACATTTCAGGATACATTCAGAAGTTGCTCTTTTCCTGTAAGAGGATTCTGTTTTTGTTTCAAAAAAAAACCCACGGTTTTTAAGGTTTTCCCTTAAAAAAAAAAAAAAAAGAAAAGAAAACTTGAAGATAAGCAAAATGAAATTTAAATTACCCACAGTTCTACCACCAGAGATGACTACATTAACATGTTAGTGTACTTAGTGATCCTTTTTCCCCACGTTTTTGTATGTTAGTCTCACATGCCCTCTCCACATTCTGAAATAGATTTGTGTAGTATACATTATTTTTAAAGTTGATGATACACAATTTACCTTTTTTGTATCATTGATGACTTACTTGCAGGAAACAAACCACTCTAGCTATTTTAAGAGGAATGGGAATTAATATTGGGAATTTTGAAACTACTTAGTTCCTTACAAAATCATTGGAAGGTATGGAGAAATGGGCTCAAGTTTGGGTCCCCAGAAAAGACTCCAGCAAAACATACGTTAACTGGCCCACCAGGGCAACTGCTACTACTGCAGCGGCCAAGGCGTTCACCAGTGGGGTTTCTGACGTTAGAACAGGCTGCAGAGGTTGTGTTCTGGGAGTGGGGACCTGCCACACTGTCTGCAGGCGCCCAGTGACCATACACGGGAAAGCAGAAAACTGCCACCTCTCCCTGGCTGCACATGCCATGGAGATGGCTTCTGCCTTACTTGTCACTTCCAAGTCTTACGTTAGGTTTTCTGCAAAGGGAGTCTGGGAAGTTGTTTTTTTTTCTTTTTTGACATCTTTATTGGAGTATAATTGCTTTACAATGGTGTGTCAGTTTCTGCTTTATAACAAAGTGAATCAGTTATACATACACATATGTCCCCATATCTCTTCCCACTTGCATCTCCCTCCCTCCCACCCTCCCTATCCCACCCCTCTAGGTGGTCACAAACCACTGAGCTGATCTCCCTGTGCTATGCGGTTGCTTCCCACTAGCTATCTATTTTACATTTGGTAGTGTATGGAAATTGGTTTTTAACTCTTCAGCCTGCAGAGTAGGAAGGCACTCCAAGGATGGAGGACAAGGTCGATGTGGGTGCTGTGTGCAAACCCACTTCATCACACACTACTATGGTCTTCCACCCC